TTACATGTGATGGAAAGGTCATTTTCGTGGATTCTATATGCCTCTCAAATGATATGAAAAATCATAATATATGGTCAATTTTCTTGACCTTACGAGCAAGCGTATTTGACGTCGGTGACTTTGGATTAATTTGATTTACACAACTTATTTTTTTTCTTTTTTGCTTTTTTCCTTTTAATTAAACTTGGTCTACATATACAAACTTGTGTTGTAAGGAATAAGACCAGGAAGCATGAGAAGAAAATGGCGCCTGATTTTCGCCGAATTCAATTGCTATTTTCCAAAATAATTTATACAACAAAATTTTTGTTTGCTCCACAAGCAGTCGTGAGTCAAGTCTTTCACTGATAGCCAGGACGTTAGTAGGAAGTGGGAGTTAATACATAATATCATAAAGAAAATGATACAAGTACATAATAATTGTACATTAGGTGTACATAACACTCACATAGAGTGCGGTCCACTTAATTTTTTATTTTTGATAGGTCCCACACAATGTGAGTGTTATGTACATCTCTCTCAACAATATTATTTATCTATAGCATTTCTCATATCATAATATGTTTTAAGTTGGTTGAACAAGCTATTTTCACGTAGTAACAGATCTAACAAACATGTAACTAAAATGCATCAGGAACGAAAACATAACATTTTAACCATTTTCTTAACATATGTTTTACAAGTTCGATGTGCTTTTTAAGATCCTTAACAAAAATATCTTAAAAATTTCACATTACGGCTACCCGTTGACTTAGCAGAAATATGTTAGTAGCAGTTTGAGATGTTCCTAAAAAGTCCACAAGTGTTTGACAATTTAACCAATCAATGAGAGTAACGGTAACATCACAATTCTTACGCTGAGGACTCCTAAAAAATCATCTAAATGTGGAGCCCATTCTAACATTTCTATTAACATTTTATAAGTTGAGTTTCACCAGGTAGGAAAGTCCGGTTGGAAATTTTTAGGTGTAAAACCTTGATCATTGTTATAATTTTCCCATTTTTCCCTTTCTTGATGATGACGATTTAAGTAAGTAACAGTCTTCTTAATGGACGTGACCAACTCTTTCAAAGCATGGTAACCCGCTAGAACACAAAAATTAAGGACATGACACATACACCAAATCCACCACAAAAGGGTTGACAAATTTCTTTAAGTTCATTTAAAGAAGCAATATTAGCACTAGCATTATCAAATGAAATGAAAATAAGGTTTTTACAAATTCTATAAATATTCAAGGCAAGTGAAATTAAAGGAGTGATATTAGAGCAATGTGAGTGCTATTAAATCCCGTATAAGCAATTAAACGTTTTTGTAATGTAAAACTATCATTTATTCAATGATAAGTAATTCTCATATAATAAGTATCTTGTCAATAATCGGATCAAATGTCACAACAAATAGAAATTCTTTGGTTTAAAACTTAAAAGTTTGCGGCAAAACTATTTTTTTCTCAAACAAAATATTTCAAATATTGTGAGTGAGAGTAGTACGTGGAACCCAAGACGCAATCGGGTTTAAATCCATTTGAGAAAAATTTTCATATAAATCAAAATCACCAAAACCGAAAGGAATAGATGGAGTAGAAAACTCAGCTAGATTACGCCTATGGGTATTACGAGAGTAAGGAAATAAAGTAGAAGACGTGTCTGTTCTAGTCGTGGATGCAGTGCTACTCTTAGGGAATTGTGTTTGGGTTGTGAGAATTATGTGTCGTTGCAGCATTCTATACCCATTGTCAGTTTTGAAAGCGTACTTCTTCTTGGCATCGAGCGAACAACAGTTGAAAATACATATGAAATATTTGTCATTGTTTTTCTCATCGGCCGCCTTTGTAGATGCCTTGTGATTGTCAATATATCGGATTTCAACCCTTGACCCCCGTCGGCGGCCGTCCTAGTCCGTTGAGGTTGTTGACCTCCTCCACCTTGAGTAAAATCAAAATCGTCTTTTACACACCAACTTCTGGTCCTCTTCATTCTCCTTGAATTGTAAGCACTCGTGGATTTCATCCAATAGAGTGAAAGACACGTTGAACCGTCTCGGGATAGTAGAACCAAAACATCCCTGTATATTGTCTGCGTCAGCGTCGGCAATGGAGTTTACTCGAACACACGCCTACATTTTTAGGCTTTTGTGGCCAATCACCGATACCACCACGAGCAATCGACATTCTATAACTTGAAGAATAGATTTTATAAAATAAAGAAGAGAGGTGAAAATTATAAAAATTAGAAATGAGAGAGTATTATATAGAGAATTTATAGAACTGAAACCGAAATCAGAGAGAATTTATAGAAACAAAATTGAACTTATACAAAACAAGACCGATTTTATAGATAATGAGGCACTTGAAGAATTAGAATTGAGAGGAATGAAGTGAGAGAGAGTTGAACGCCAATTCTGGGTCATCCTGACAATTCAGGTGGATCAGTTTAATCTTGACCATTGGATCTCAACAGTCAAATTTTTGGGTGAGCCTATTCAAACCTGGAACCGTATTTAACTAAAAAATAATGCCCATTGAATCTCCAACGGTCTAGATTTAATCTGACAGCGAGTTGTCAATGGTCATAACAGTTCAAGCCGGCCCGATTAACCCACAGAATTAAAAAAAAAATGAAAATTCACAAAAAAAATTATATAAAATCGCTAGGCTTCCCGGGTCACTTTGGACCGATCTTGAATGAGAACCGATCGTTCACAAATTTAAGGGGTGATTGTTTATGGATTGAACTAGTTTTTATTTGGTTTGTTTTTTAACTATAGTTAATTTTGAAAAAAAATGGTACGGTAATTGTTAGTAGATATATTCAAATAATATTTAAATAAAATAATTAAAATTGATTTGATGTAAAGTAGGAGAAAAACGATTGAAAGTTATAGTTAGTTAGAGTTATGTGAGTAGATGAATAGTGAATTAAAGTTGATTTGATATGTAAAAATGATTGGTTGATATTATTTAATTATATTGATAATATTTATGATAGTAGGGTTGAGTTAAAGTTGAGTTAAATTTAAGTTTTGATTTGGTTTTTTTACTATTCAATTTGCCCTTATTTGCTTCTCAGGATGGGATTGGACTAATTTAGTCCAATGGGAAAGGATTGTACTGTTGGGATTGAATTAATTCTATGTTTTTTATATATGATAAGGGGTAGGATAACTTTAAATTAAAAAACAAAAAATGTGTAGGTGGTATAAATACTGTTTTACCCCTTTCAAATAAATCAAATAAGTATTCTTCCCCAATAAAATACTGTTTTTGGTTAAACCATGTTCGGCGGACATGTGCTTTTATATTTTTCCGTATATTGATAACAAAAATAATCTGGACCAATACAGAAAATCAGTACAAGTCGAACACAATAGTCCAAGATACATAGGCTTGCCGATAACCAATTAGATGTTGAAAATTTTCGTGCTTTCAAAGAACGCACGAATATACGCTGGTTTATATCTCACCAGACTACACTACAACCAACATACTAACCACATCAGTCCGAATCGATGCACGATCCGGAGTCGGAATCATCAACATACTAACCACACCATTGAAATCGTAGATGATTTGAATTTCTTCCTTCTTTTCCATGTCAACAGCCATTTCCATGTGGGGTCTTCCTTGGGCTCGTCTTCGTCCAACTCAATTGGATTGTAAATGTTACGAACCGCTTCTACCTCCAAGTCGATGGGATAGTGAATCGTCGCGCCCGGCTGGTCCCCAAATTCATGTGCATCCGAATCATCAAACTCTATTGGTTCATAAACCATGTCTCCAGGGCCATCATCAAAGTTGACATCAGCGGCTTCACGGACCATGAACAAATCGACGCACTCATAGTAGGAAGTAAATGCAATCCGGTTGAGGAACTCATATGTAATAAAATATCTCATGCAACAGATTTGTGACATCCAAGAATCATATTATTAAAACAATTCATATAAATCCTAAAAACAAAAAAAAAAAAAAAATACAAAAAAAGAAATAACATGGTTAACCAAATATCCAAATATATACAAACACCACCATGTGAAATATGGCCAGACCTCAACTGACCAGCATCACTCTTCCTTTTCACATGTTTTAACATGTTAATTGATAAGGTGTTTATTACTTGACATCTTATCTTATCTGAATGCAAGTATATCCCATTACAAATGCAAACCATATTAAAGCTCATACCAATCTATGAAAATATTGTCATGAAAATTCATCTGCTCCACAATAGAACAATATGCAATAGAACAGAGACATGAGCAATAAAAATGGATCAGCTGCACAATATGCAATGCAAAGAACACTCCACTAGTCATAAGCACCACAATTATATACCATGTATTAATCACATAAACAAACTTTTATTTCAAAACCTTTTTATATGACAATTCATTTATCAGAGAAGGAAAACAAGAGCTTACCAAATTCATAAATTTTATAGAAGTATTAAATTATTAACATTCCTTGCTGCAACTGAGTTGTTACCCATCTACAAAGAAAATGCAAAGTTGTATGCCTTCTTATCAGTCATTTTGCACCAAGGATGAGAAATGATAGTTTACTTATGTGTGCTTAAGTTTATTTAGCAAAATTAGGAGAAAAAAGGAATGCTCGTGAATCATGAATATAAATACCATGATCCTGAATCTCCTTGCAACTCACAATATTTAATCTTCAAAATTACTACTCCAACATTTATCAATTAATTAGTTGGTTTTAGTGTTACTACATTTTGAGATTTAATAGGACTTACTGGTGGACTAAACAATTGAACCCAATTTAAATGATAATAAAATCTGGATATTCAAGTTCCACATTATCCATTGAACCAGTTTGTGTTGTTTATAGTTTGGTATTGAGAATCCAATCGCATTCGGGTATTGGGAAATTTTTTTGAGCAAAAAGAATTTAAATATTACCTTACATTATCCAATGATTTCAGAAATTCAAAGCACATTCACAGGAAGAGCAAGATGGGATATAAAAATTTTCAGATTAATGCCGATAATACCTTACGCAGATGTCAGACTTCGAAATCGGTTGACAAAATGGATAGCGGACGACGGACCCTTCGATAACGAGTTCGGCGAAGGAGAAGCAACGCCAACGATTTTAGAAATCCACCTTTGTCGTCTGCTCTCTCTCGATCGTTGCTGTGATGGGTAGGGTTTGCTCTCTCTCATCGATGCACATCGTTTTGATATGGGAGGGTTTCTGACCGATCCAACTATTTATTATGGTCATATGGTTATTTCAGTGAAACAGAGGGCTACAAATGTCCGAAAAAATAAAATATGAGGGCATGTTTGGTATTACACTACCAGCATTGTTTATATCCCACCAAAAAAGTGGGATTGAGTTGTCCTATGAAAGCAGGATAACATGAGTTTTAATACCAAGCTGGCGGGATTCAAGCGAGCTGCTGTCCTTTAAACCAAACGCAGGATTAACGTAGGATAAGGCAGGATATCCAAAGAAAACGCTTACTTCAATATACAATCACCCATTTATTAATTTGTTAACCTGAACAGGCATATCGAAATTAGGGGCCGATTCCGGGTCCTCAATCAATTGGCATGACCGGGCCAAATAGGAGGGCCGTATCAATAAACGAAAGCGGGGTTAGGAGAGTCCGACAAAGAGTAGGTGGAGGCATGAAAAGTAGGAGAGAGTAAAAATACGCCCTCTTCACTGGATTCCGGCGAATCTCCGGCGATAGTCAGCGGGAATTTATTTCAGTGTAATTTAAGCTGTCTTCTTGGTGACGCTTGAATGGTGAACTGTGTCGCTGTTGGCAGCTAAAAGGCCATTTTTTTAGTGTGGAAAAAAAAGAAAGAGAAAATACTCACGGGCTGTTTGCCTGTTCACATTTTCGGAGGTTCGTAGTGTAAGTTTGGAGACCGTTAGCGGAGCATCAGTGGTGTTCTTTTGGCTGTTCTGTCTATTTGCGCTGTCCTCCGATCTCAGCTTTCGAAGGTAAAAGATGGAGATATAACACCGAATCTGATTCCATCTTTTTGGTTGCAGCTTTTTCTCTCTCATGATTTCTCTATAAAGTCAGAAGCTTTCTGCTAACACTTGAGAATTATTAAATCTGTTTTACTTTACTAGTTGTTGTGGTCAGCTTAATTTGCTAAGTAAACTGTAGCGCCTTAACCTTCCATAATTGCTTTAGTACAAACCTTTTTACTTCTCATTTATGTTTTGGTATTCTCATAGTATTAATAGCCTTTTTGATTATCTGTGTATATGGGTGTTGAATATTAAACGTATATGATTTAGGGCTCAAGTGTGAGTTCTAAATGGAGATCGACTGGGAAAAAGTAAAAGCGATTCTGGTCCTAATAGTTCTTATTTTGTAGAAAAATGTTGTATTTTATTTTTTTTTTAAGATTTTTTATTAGAAAAGTGAAGTTCATCGAGGGATTGGGTGTTGTCAGTTGTCGATGTGAAGTTTCTTGGGACTGTGGGGAGTTGTCAGTTGTTCGATGTGAAGTTTCTTGGGGACATGCTGTAAAAGTGTTGTTTGTTATTCTTTTCTGGTACTAATTGTTGTTGTCTTACTATTTTCTTTTCTTTTAGTTTCCTTGTCATTCCCGGTCTTCAAGCAATAAATCAGTATTCTTTTTCTTTTAGTTTCCTCATCATTCCTGGTCTTCAAGCAATAAATCAACATTCACTGTTCTTTTATTCTCCCACTCCTCCTCCCCCAACTGCTGCCGCTTCTGATGCTTGCACGCATGTTAGTTTAACTATGCACCCTCTTTGCATTTTTACAACTATAGTCAATTATTTGTCTGATACTTTTTCTTATTAGTTTTCCAATTTTTCATTTGGGTGGTACAGGTTGAAAATTTGTCAAAGGCCCTGAGTTTCATGTTTAAACAGCTTTGTGTTTTTTTCAAGAACTTTTTCCTTTCTAGGTTGCAGTTGCTTTTTCTTGGTG